GTTCAGTAAGAGACCTTGTCTCCAAAAATAAGATACAGACGCTGGAGAGATGGCTCAGCAGTTCATACTGCTTGCTGCTCTTGCAGAGGACTGAAGTTTGGTTCTCAGCACCCATGTCAAGTGGTTCACAACCACCTGTAACTCCAGCTCCAGGGGACCTCTGCATGCACCAGTACACACACACACACACACACACACACACACACACACACACACACACAAATAATAAATCATTAAAAAATATCAGCCTTGGGACTGGAGAGATGGCTCAGCAGTTAAGAACACTGGTTGTTCTTGCAGAAGACCAGGGTTCGAATCCCAGCACATACATGGCAGTTAACAACTGTCCATAACTCCAGTCCCAGGGGATCCAACAGCCTCTTCTGTTCTCCGAGGGCATTGCACGACATGGGTGTACTTACCTACATGCAGGCAATACCCATACACATAAAAATAATTTAAAAAATTTTTTTTAAATCTCAGCCTTGCTGGGTATGGTGGCACACACCTTTAATCCCAGCACTCAGGAGGCAGAGGCAGGTGGATCTCTGAATTCAAGACCAGCCTGGGCTACATACTGGGATACTGCCTCAAACAACCAACCAAAGAAAAACAAATAAAAAGAATAGAAGATGAGCGTTTCTTCCTATTTCCAGCAGCACCAATGGTGGCAGCCCCAACCCGGGCACAATTCAAATGTGCATCAATAGGGACCAATACGCAGTGTTGGAGTCACAGATGTATCATGGAGTCACACTCAGCTTCCTGAGTGTGCTTTATAAGCATGCCACACCTGGTTCTTAAGCTATTTAACTTAAACAGGGTCTTGCTATGTAGGCCAGGTTGGCCTCAAACTTAGTGATCCTCATATTTCTGCCTCCCAAGTGTTGAGTTTACAGGCATATGCCGCCATGCTTAGCTCTCAGACTGCTTAACTTTACTGGAAACTGCCAAACCTATCCAAAGCTTGGTTTGGGCATTTTGCTTTCAACAGCTTATGAAAGTCCCTATCAGTTCCACCGTCTTGCCACCAGATGGCGATAGCAGCCTTTTAAATTTTAGCCATTATGGTTGGTCAATTAAGCCTCTTCCCTTAGGGTTAGGAGCCGGGAGTGCAGGCTGAAGGAGTGCAGCCGGCTTGTCAGCTCCCCAGTGCAGGAGTGTGAGTGGAGAGGACACCTCCGTTCTCTATGAGTGTGCACATGTCCATCATAAGACAGCTGGGCTGATGCTATGTGTGGTGGTAGCACATGCCTGTAATCACAGTTTTCCAAAGGTAGGGAGGCAGAAGGATCAGAGTCTGAGGCCAGCCTGGGCTACATAGTGAGACCTTGTTAAAGGGAAAAAACAAAAGGCCAGTAAAATGGCTCATCAGGTAAGAGCCCTTGCCACCAAGCCTGATAAATCAAGTTTAATCCTCAGAAGCCGTAGTGGAAGGAGAGAGCCAACTCCTAAAAATTGTCTTCTGACCTCTACATGTGTGCTATTGTGTGTGCATACACACACACACACACACACACACACACACACACACACAGCACTTGGGAGGCAGAGACAGGCAGATCTCTGTGAGTACAGGGCCAGCCTGGTCTACATAGTGAGTTCTTGGCCAGCTGGAGCTGCAGGGTGACCCTGTCTCAATAAGACCAAAAATAAATAAATAAATAAATAATCGATAAATAATCTATAAAAGGGGCCATGAGATGGCTCAGGGAGTGAAAGTGCTTACCACACAAACCTGATGACCTGAGTTCACGCCTCAGAACCCACAGTGGAGGGAGAGAACTAACTCCCATGTTATTCTCTGCCCTCCATACAAGCCCTGTGGTATGTATTCTCTCTCTCTCTCTCTCTCTCTCTCTCTCTCTCTCTCCCCCACACACACGCTCTCGGATATATTTTCTCTCTCTCTCTCTCTCTCTCTCTCTCTCTCTCTCTCACACACACACACACACACACACACACACACACACACACACACACTGATCATAAATAACAAAGTTTAGGGGTTCTTGTTTTGAGTTTTGTGGGTTTTTTGTTGCTGTTGTTATTGTTGTCAGGTCTCCCTGTAGCCCCAGCTGGTCTGGAACTCACTATGTAGACCAGGCTGGCCAGGATCTCACAGAGACCCACCTGTCTCTGCCTTCTGAGTGCTTGGATTTAAAGGCATGCACCACCATGCAAAAAATAAAAATAATAAAGGGCCTGGGGATGTGGTTCAGGTGGCAGAATACTAGCGTGCACAAAGCTCTGGGTTTGATCCCTAGCCCCACATAAACCAGGCATGGTGGCACACACATGTAATTCCGCCACATTTGTGAGGTGGACGCAGGAAGAGGTTCAAGGTCATCCTCAGCTACATAGAGTTCAAGATCAGTCTGGGATACATGAGACCCTGTCTCAAGAAAAAGAGGGGGGCTGGGGAGATGGCTCAGCAGTTAAGAGCACTGGCTGCTCTTAGAGAGGACCTAAGTTCTGTTCCCAGCACCCACATCAGTGGCTCACAACCATCTGTAACTCCAGTTCCAGGAGATCTGATGCCCTCTTCTTGACTTCCATGGGCATTGCATGACACTGGTGCACTTACACACATGCAGGCAATACACTCATACATATAAAATGAAAATAATAAACAAAATATTAAGAAAAAAGAAGGAAGAAAAAAACAGATGTCCAATATGGTGATGCATACCTACAATCCCAACACTTGGGAGGCAGAGGCATAAATTCAAGTCATCCTTGGAGTCCTGTGTGCTATGAATCCTGGTGATCTCAGGACAAAGCTAGCCCTGGGAGGGGTTGCATGGGCCTAGACCTCTCCTAGATACGCACAACAACTGCTTCATTCATCTAGTGCAGGGAAGGACACCAGCTTAGACAGATGGTACCACCATGGTACAGAGGGGGAGGAATTCCTTGCAGTCACACAGCAGGGACTATCAATCAGGTCTCGAGTTATTTGTGCTAACATCTCCCTCACCCCCACCCCCACCCCCCAGTGCCACTTGCTCTGGGAATCCAAGAAGCAGGAAGAAGGCTTGACTGGAGAGAGCTCAGAGCCAGGACCCATTTCTTGGTGTCTCAGGTGCCCTCCATCTCCCACCACCACTGATTCAGGATTCATCTGCCACAGGCCTTCTCCATGAGAGACCCCATTACCTCCATTCCTCCTAGGATCTCTGCTTAGGGTCATCCTTAAAGGTCTGCTGAGAGATCATACACTATCTCACAGGCTCCTATCCCAATTGCCCTGGTGCTCAGACCCCAGCTCCTAAAACTTCCCTTATCCAAAGCTTTTCCCACTCTTTCACTGAGCCAGCCCTTTTCTGCAACATCCTTGCCTCTGGATCCCATTTGCCTTCTCCCCTGAAGCCCTATCTCCCACCATGACAGCTCTAGGCCTGCGTAAGATAATGAAGGACTTGAGGATCGTGGGCTGGAAAAACTTTCACTTTGTTCTCATAAAGAAGCTTAGTGGTTCCCATAACAATCAAACCCAGATTTTCCCAGCTGGCCATGGGAAGATACTGCTGGAACTTGCCACCAACCTGGTTTGCAATATTTCTCTGACCCCTGTCTATGCAACTCCATCACTCTGAACTCAACTGTTGTCTAGTGCTTGGGGCTAACTGTACATCCACAGTCTTCTTCTGACCTTTATTTATTTATTTTTGGTCTTTTTGAGACAGGGTCTCCCTGTAGCCCCAGCTGTTCTGGAACTTGCTATGTAGACCAGGCTGGTCTTGAACTCACAGAGATCTGCCTGCCTCCGCGTCCCAAGTGCTGGGTATTAAAGGCATGTGCCACCACACTTGGCTCTTATTTATTTATTATTTTTATGTGTATGTTTGTGTATATGTAAGTGTACCTGCATCATGCAATGCTTGTGGAGGTCAGAAGGGCACTGGATCCCCTGGAACTGGAGTGAAGGATGGATGTTAGCTGCCATGTGGGTGCTGGGAACTGAACCCAGGTTCTCTTGAAAGAGAAGCCAATGCTCTTAACTGGTGAGCTATCTCTCCAGCCCCCTCTGACTTTCTGAAGCAAGGCTGGACTCCAGGTGCAACACCTAAACAAAATTACAAAATTTCTTGTTGGGTGTGGTGGCCCACACCTGTAATCCCAGCACTGGGGAGGTACAGAGAGGCAAAAGGGATTAAGATCAACTATACAGTGATCAACTGTATGCAGTGAGTTCCAGGATAGCCAGGGCTACCTGAGACCCTGTCTCAAAAAGTTAAAAAGGAGTTGGAAAGATGGCTCAGCAGTTCAGGCTGCTTGTTGCCCTTTTACAGGGCCAAAGTTAGGTTCCCAGCACCCAGGTCAGGCGGCCCACACCTACACACACGTAAATAAAAATAAATATTTTTTAAAAAAGAAAACACAGGGCTGGAGACTCAGCGGTTAAGAACTGATTGTTCTTGCAGAAGACCCAGGTTCAAATCCCAGCACCCACATGGCAGCTAACAACTCCAGTTCCAGGGGATCTGCCGGCCTCTTCTGTCCTCCGCGGCCATTGCACGACACAGGTGCACTTACCTACATGCAAGCAATACATTCATAAACATAAAATAAAAATAATAAGAAAAAGAAAACACAAAGCAAATCAATAAAATCCATCCCAAACTTGCTGAATCTGAATCAGAACATCTGAGGTTGTGACTCGCGAATTGTTTTTATTAAACCCTCTCGCGCCAGAACGACAGCTCTGCGCGGTCCCCCTTGGACCCACCACGGAAAATACAACGTCTATTTCTGCCATTCGAACTCTAGTAACATCCTCATCCTGAGTGCCCACCTGACCAACAGAACACTCCGCGCCTGAAATTACAATTCCCACAATGCCTAGAGTGGCCCACCGCTTTCTTAGACTATAACTCCCAAGGAGGTGTCTTGCTAGCCAGACCTCGCGCTTGACGCCCGTCCTGGTGGAGACCATAAGGACTACAACTCCCACAATGCTCGGAGGCGTAACTACGGCCCCCTACGGCTCAGAGCCGCGCCACGTCGGCTCCGCCTAGAGAGTCCGGGCTCGGGCGGGGCCGGCGGGACCTGCGTGGCTCTGGGCTGGTTACTGCGGGTCTACCCACCACGACGCGGACATGGCGGCCCAGAAGGACCAGCAGAAGGATGCCGAGGCAGAAGGGCTGAGCGCCACGTGAGCGAACAGGCTGAAGCCCCCAACCCGAGATGCGGGAGTCCCAACCCCCAACTCTCCAGGCCCTCGGTCTCCTCTTCAGGAACCCCGAAGTCCGGGCCCCCAGGCCCTCTCCTCCTTGAGTGGGAACCTGGAGTTCTGGCTCCTTCCCGGGACCCTTCCCCGGTGGAGCTCAGAGTCCTGTGTGCTGGGACCCGGGGTCCAGCCCCTCTCTTGTTCCCCGCGGGTGCTCCCCCCAC